AAAGAAGAACGGCGCGATCGGCACTCGAAGAGGATTTCCTTGAAGAAGAAGGTGTACTATATGAAGCAGGAATGGGCGATTAATGGTAAGAAGCTTAAAAATGAATTTTTCAATAAAAAAACTAATGCCGAAACTTTAAACGCGTTTTTCTCGAAACTAAGTTTTTCAATACGGTGTACACGATATCTCGAGTTTTAATGAATGAATCGACTTGAAATTTTAACCATATATTCTCTGGAATAGTGTCTCTCGTCTGGCGAAGCATTTTTTTGATATCGTTTTTTGTGTAATTGTTATAAACAATAATCACATCAAATTTGGGCAAAAGAATAGAAAAAAATTTCAAGAATTTTTTTTTCGGCGCCAAAATTTTTTATCGACAAAATCCTCCGTCAGACGAGAGTCAATACTATGTAGATGATAACCATATTTTGTTTTTTGTTTCAGATCACCCAGACGTGAGATTTCATGTACACCGTTTGGGCACATAAAAAAAACGGACCTGCACTTGAAGGAGTGCCACGACGGCAATTTTGAATATTTCGACTTGAAAATTTTTTTACAAATACTTGAATATATAATAAATATGACGGTTTAATTTAATTTAATGTACGAGTCATATTTTGTTAGAAAAAAAATTCGGAAAATCGGCCTGTTTTTTCCCTTGTCACAGTAGACTTCCCCCTTAAGAAATTAAAGGTGACCTTCACGTGATCTTCAAACAACTATCCAAGGTTAAACCAATGACACCATCTTATGTGCCCCTCGAAGTCACAAAACTTTTGTCTGAAACATTTTTCTTTAAAATGTCGCGTTTACAAAAAAATCGGGTGAGACGGGTGGTCTGGGACACCCTGTATATACTTATATAATATAAAATTTTATTTTTTAGCAGGTGAAATATGGAAATATTATTGGACCAAATAAAAGTAAAACACCAACTATGTCAACATCTACATTTATCATTATTAAGAAGAACAACGATAATTCAAACTTAGGAAAATGTGTTTAAGCGTACTGAAAAGCAACATTACAAGTACTTATTGAACCCAAAATATATATAAGTATATTTATTATAGAGTGAATGTATTATAAAACATTTTAAGTTAAAAATTATGACGTAGTGAAACTAAAATATTTTAGAATGAAGCAAAGTATGATAAATGTTAAGTTTAACAGAGTGTACATTGATAAAATAAGATCAAATTTTATAAAGATTTTACTAATAAACTATTATGATTATAAACTAGATTATTAACTATTAAGATATGTTATATATTATTATCATCATAAATATAAACACTAAAATTGTTTAAAATTTTATGTAAATAAAAAACTAAAAATAATAAATAATGTTTGTGTGTATTCACGTAAACCAATATTTTGAATGCTTTCAGCGAATAGTGGAGCAAGCGCCGGTTGTTTGCATGGACTGAGGAGAAAGTCGACGTAAGGACATGCTCACGTGTTTGCACGCCGCGTTAGGCCCGTCGGGCAGCGATGCCCTTGCAAATGATCTGAGGGCAGGAGCGTGTAAGAGTGAGAGAATGAGCAGCGGAGAGCTAACCCTGCGGACTTTCGGTCTTGACCGCGTTAGGAAGATTCGTGAGGCTGTTGAAGTCAGCTAGCGATTCGAATATCTCTGCGACCCATTGGTATCTTTTCCTTCACCTATGTGCGCAATACTAATTCTACTCGAACTACTTAATCCTATTCTCGCGGTACCGTGAGCGTGGCTATCTTTTCGCCGATGCGCAAAGGGCTTGTGAAGCCTTTGAAGGCGGCGAATTGCTAAGTTCCACCGTTCCTCCGAGCGGAGTGGAGCTAGGCTTCTGATGACCTTACGGTCACCCCGTTGGCTTTTCCGGACCTGTTGGCGCGCGTACGGCGCAGCGGAGAGAGCCACTCTAGTAGGTATAATAAACAGTTTCTGAGACGGAAGCTCCGAGGGGAATGCTGGGCGGAAGGTTATCGCAGAGCGCCGAGGATGATGTCACGCGGGGAAAAGGAGAGCTTATAGGCGCGGGGGCCGACGTCACGAGAGGGGACCGACGTAACAAGGGGGAGGGAGGATTGACGTCATACGTGCAGGGACTAATATTTGTACTGTATTACCGACAATATGTCGGTATTACCATCGTTACCCCCCTCCAGCGCTCGATATTCATCCAGCGATCGATATTCCTTTATCAGTCGGTAGGACGGATCCCACAGGCGGCCCACGTTCGATCGCCCGCGGCAGTTTACTCTACACTCACGACCCTTTCCGCGTTCTTCTGCGCGATTCACGACGATCCGCCCCACCTTTCTCGCGCAAATAAACGAGGCCTCGCACAGTAAAACAGCTGACAAACGTGATAAAACGGCGAATAAATGACTGACAAACGGTAAAAAACTGCATTAGAACAGCTGACGAACGGCAGACGAACGGTAAAGAACGGCTAACGAACGGTTGACGAACGTTGTTTAACGTTTTACTTACGTTTATATAATGCGTATAATTGCGTATAACGTCTTTTCGAACTATACTAAGTAAGAATAAAAAAAAATTATTCGAAAGAAAAAGAGACAAAATAGCTCGAATCTTATCGTTTATCTACTGTCCCAGCTATACATGCTGCTCTTGTGATATGGCTGTTTCTATTAAGATGGTTATATTATGGTTTTCCGGTGCGTTTACGTATATATGGTAAGGAGGAAATGTAAGTATAATAGAAATATTTTTTTTTTAATTATAACAGTTTATTTTTACCAAATTTTATAAATTTGCAATAGCATCATTCACAATATCTTTCAAAGCGCATGCCAACAATTCGCAGTCGACAAGAGACTCGCTCTTCAAGTCATCGCTCTCACGTATCATTTTAGCGGCGTAAAACAATCCGAGATTTTTAGACTCGTAACTTATATCGGTGATATTATTTCATTGCAAGAAGTTTACACATTTTTTAAATTTCATAATAATGATATTCGTATTTTCACTTAACCATGAATACATGTGAGCGATGCAATGGTCGAGATTAAATAACATATTCATTATTTCCGATTTTAAATACATGAACTTATTTAACAGGGTAAGCTTTATAATTTTATCATTGCGCATCTTACAAAATTCTACCGCAAGTTCTTGAATCTGTATAGATGAAAAATGGGATTCCGTTGACTGTATGTCTCTTGATTTCCGCACGTTTTTGAATCAGCGTTCTCCACATCAAAATATGCAAAATCAACTGATTGCCGCGATTGGGCAATTTTTTGCCACGCCAAGGGTAATTTTTACAAATAAGACAGATCCTGCGCTGATTCCGGTTTCTAGATATTTGTATTATGTGGATGTTGAAGCGTATCCAATCCAATCCAATGGCGCTCCAACCTCATGTCGGGCTTAGACCTATCTCTTTTTCACATATATGCATGTGGTGCGCACGCAGATTATACACATGCATGTGGAACCCACAGTTTCGCCGGTTCCAAACGGCAAATTTTGGAGAAAGGTTTTCTTGGCAGGAATACTCTTGGAGTTTGCCAGACCACCGAAGAGGAGCTACGAGCGTATGAAAAATTTTCTGACTCTGCAAAGAATAGAAACCTGGACCTCTAGCATAATAGACTGGTGCGCTATCTACCATGCCACGCTTCCGCTTGTTAAAGCATATCTCCTCTCCAAAATACGGACTGCTCGATACGGTCTGAAAGTTGAATTATACGACTATGAAAAAATAATTTAAAACAATTTATTTTTTCACAAAAATAAATGTAAATATCATGAAAATGTAGCAAAAATTATAACTTACGTGTCACATTTATCTTTCTTGCATGGAGATACTTCATCTTCTTCTTTGATGGAAACGTAATAATTATTGCGTTTCTTTCCAGCATAGGATGTATACATTTTGAATCACTGCTTGTCTGTAGAACGTTTTATAGAGCGACTGATGTAATAACGCGTATAAACTATTTAAAAACGAGCAATCCCTACCAGACATTGCATTTTTTTAGCATGATTTATTCATAAATAATATTTTCTCTTAAAAAAGCGTTAAGGGGTTACACCACAGTAGAGAGCGAAAATTTAACGTTTTTTTGCGATTTTTTTTTAAGTGGAAGAAAAAGTAAAAGGGTAATTCTTTTTAAGGATGTTGTTAAGCATGTTTTGAAGTTTAAAAAAAAATTTTGTTTATTAAAAAATATTACAAAATGGCTGCCCAACAGCCGTTTCTGCGGAACGGTTTTTTTTGGAGGGGCTCCGCGGCACGCAGTAGAAGTGCAGCAAAAATTAATCTGGAACAAAATAAAAAATTTTTTCTTAAACTACATTAGTATAGCTATAGAAATA